GTGGCGGCCATATTGGATTTCTGATCGACCCGAAAAATAACAACACTTTGTCAGGACCATGAGGCGATCATTCCTACCAACTTTCAGTTCAATCGGTCCAGCAGAACTTGACTTTAAGTTTGAAATAGGTTTTCAAAATGGCGGCCGTGGCGGCCATATTGGATTTCTGATCGACCCGAAAAATAACAACACTTTGTCAGGACCATGAGGCGATCATTCCTACCAACTTTCAGTTCAATCGGTCCAGCAGAACTTGACTTTAAGTTTGAAATAGGTTTTCAAAATGGCGGCCGTGGCGGCCATATTGGATTTCTGATCGACCCGAAAAATAACAACACTTTGTCAGGACCATGAGGCGATCATTCCTACCAACTTTCAGTTCAATCGGCCCAGCAGAACTTGACTTTAAGTTTGAAATGTAAAATGTTAACGGACGACGGACGACGGACGACGGACGACGGACGACGACGGACGAAAACGGATAGCAATAGGTCACTTGAGCTAAAGCTCAGGTGACCTAAAAAAGAAGAGATACAGAACATATTCACAAATCTGTACTTAAAAGTCTGCAAACCATGGAAAATTCTTTATTGACCTAAAACTGTATGTTACACCAAGTTTCCTTAACAATGACAAATAATCTACTGTGATCTACTTAAAGCCAAATCTGTTCAGATATCTGTGTTATCAAAGGCACACATTAAGGATCCCTGTCCCACTGCACTGTGTATAAACAGTACAGTAACCTCCCCTTTATTTTGGTTTTGGATACATGTATGTCTGTAGAGCACTTCCATTGGACTGGGTAGCTCAGTCGGTTAGAGTGACAGTATAACAATCAGAAGTCCCGGGTTCCAATCCTGGTCTAGCCATGATGAAATTTTACCAACAGAGACTTCATCTTTTATGTATTATTTTTTTGTCATAAAAGTCCCACAAAGTATGATTTTCTTTTCAGAAATGATTTATAAAAGCTATATTCATACAGGAAAAATTGGTTCTTACACTTAGTTACAGTGTTTAGTAGTGGTACGGGGATCCTTAACTTTAATAGGTACTAAATATATAGCACATGAATGTGGTGAAGTCACATGGCCCCATCACACCTTGCTATAATCCAGCCAACACCTAATCTGGTTGTCCTACCAGGGTTTTAGGGGACCGATTGTCTCTCTTTTCTATATAAAATGGTGCAGTCATTCAGCAGGCTCAATTAAACCACCTTTAATTTTGTTGAACCTCATGAAGGAATAACCTTCACTGTATATCATTGAGTCTTTTAGTCTCACTACAAATTCCAGTAAGGCTAAGAACTTGATTGAAGGAATAGTTTTGATGTTACTAAAGTTAATTGACAAAGCTTTTTGCCAGGAACTGTGATCAAGTCAAGATTGTATCCCTCTTTTATTTCAAATTTAATACCGGAAAATAAAAAAAGGCCATGATCACAACAGAGAAATGTTATTTCAGAATTAATTTTAATTAACAGATTGAGCAAAGTATGAAGTATGAACAGTCACCAGGATGAAGCATATTTTCACTTGGCATTAGCTTATTAATTATTTCCAAGTGTTTGTTTATAAAAAAGACAGAAACAATTATAGATATAAATGATTTGTGCTTTATGTTGCTACTACTGTATTCAAAAGGGAATCTATTTTCCCAGATTGCTTTTTGTAAAGGATTTGGAGATATGTAATTTCTGAAAATATATCCACGCCTTTAAATCACAGATATCCGTATATATGAAACAAAACAAAAATCTACAGTATAGCAATGAAAGACTTTCAATTCATTTGTTTTAAAACTGTACAGTTGTAAAACTTTGACACTGTCAGCTTATTTGAAAATTTACTCCAGATTACTTGAATTCCCACCCAAAATGTCCCCAGCATCCATATCAATGATGGCGTTGTTACTGCCACTCAAGTCAGCGCCTGGCATGTTTCCTTGGTTACTCTCAAAGACATTCTCCAGGGATTCATTCTCTGGTAAACTCTCTAACATGGTCACAGATTTACTAGCTCCATGGCAACAGGACTTTTCTTGTTGCGGAGCACTCTCGGGAGCAGGCGTTGCTGCTGGATTCATCGGAGGGGTGGTGTTCTCCAGATTCGCTGCCAGTGTATACCTGGTACCTCTCTTCTTGCCTAACACTTTCACATAATTAGCAGGAATGACACCAATTTTCTTTCCATCAATACTAGCCAACAACCAACCTTTCATTCTTGGCTGCAGTTCTGAAATTTTAAAAGCAAACTATATGTCCAACATCTTACAAACTTTTATTGATATGTGAAATAAAAATAAAATAAAATGTTGTGCATAAACTTAAATATACTTGGCTCTCAGTCTAATAAGTTTGCCTAATCCAAGTTTAAACGACATGTGTCCGAGTACGCAATGTGATCAATTTAAGACAGACATTTATATTAACATCTGAGACTGACAATCTGAATCATTTCATCATCCTATAACAGCGATTAGAGACGTTTCATCAAACCTGGAATGCACTTATACATATTACTATGAAATGTCATGTCCATTTTTTTTTAATAAAATATGAAACTTGTTTGATAATTATACAACATACCTGAAAACAATCTACCATTCATTGCATATAAAGTAAAAGATTAATTCATCTGAGGAGTTACAAGTAAAGCAGAGGGATTCTAAGAAGGTTTCTGGCAATGTGGTACATGATTTACCAGTTCTTATAGATTTACCCTTTCTCTACCTATGGAAATCGGCCCCTAATATGACTTACCTTTTGGGGCAACATTGATGTTTTGTCCGGCACTGAAGGACAGCTCATTGCTTGAATCAGCCTTGAAGTCAAACTCGGCTCGGGCCACAAAGTGATCCTCTTCACCTGATGCCCAGTTTTTCTCTGTAGAAATATTAAGCAGACTTAAGGATATTAAAGGAATATGTCGTACAAGCTTTGTGTTATTAGTACAAGTATTCAGTACCTGTTTCCTAGCTACTTCAGTACGGAGATATTTTCAATATTTTCCTTTCTGTTGTGCTGTACAAACTCTCTAGAGGTTGTTTAAAGGGTTGGATAAAAAATATTCAGTTACTTTTACAAGAACTAGGTCATAGAAAAAACTACAGTTTAGAATAGGATAACACAGAATATGTTAAAGTGGGACTCACTAGTCTTAGCTAAAGGTGTCAGAACACATCCATATAAATATCAGAATCCATGGTTTTACCTGGAGAAGGATCTGCCATTCTGTTGATAAATTTCCATATCAGCCAAGGTGCACCGAGAATGATTCCAAAAAACACAAGGATTGGCCACGTAGATTTCTTTGGATCTTTTGCAGCTTCCGCTGAAAGCTGTTCTACAGAGTCTGCAGCTTGTGTCCAAGCTTCCTCAGCATATCCTGCTGGTCGGAGGCGCAGCAATACCAACAACTTCCTGTACAAGTATCGGATCATTCGAAATATAGCCAGTGCTGAAAACACTTGTCCTAATTGCATTTTTAGTCTTGAAAAATTGTCCGCCACCCCAATAACTGCTCGGAAGGAATTGTACACTGCCTGAAATGTTGAGTCCAACATCATGCTGACAGATGTAAATGCATTTACAATACTCTCAACAGACTGAAAGGCTTGTCGTGAGTTCTCCTCGGCCTGTCTGGCAAACCCATTGTACTGATCTTCAGGTCCGTTCATCCCATATCTGTTATAGCCCATGCCATATCCACCCATAGAGCTACCATACATGCCTCCACCTAGACTACTGTATGGACTTGTGTAGGAGGACCCATACCCCATGCCACCATATCCTCCACCATATCCTCCACCACCACCATATCCTCCACCATACCCGGAGAAATTGGACATGCGGTTGCCATACATGCCCTGTTGGGAAGGTCTGCCAGGAAGTGGTGGTGGTTCTCTGCCTCCAGGTGTTGCTTGCCCAGTACAACATGGTGGGAGTGAAGCTCCTGTTCTGTAATGGCAATAAAAATATTTGATATTTTTAGAAATATCTGTGTGCCTCTATGTTATTTTCATGTTAAGATAGCCAGTAAAGCAAATATTTTCATCTATCCATTATAATAACACATGAAAACAGTTCACATACTTGCCAACTTTCGAATTTTCCATGGGGGAGATTTGGCTTGCTCAAAATTAAAACCTAAATAAAATATGTTTAATTATACCCTCTAGAGACGAAATCACCCTTTAAATGACATATTTTGAGTTGTTCTTTCAGATGAAATAATTAGATCTTAGATTATAAGAATAGTTTAGCAAATTCACTGGTTGAAAATGCTAATTTTTGTGAGAGAACGATAAGTACATATTAAGATAAGATAAGTTTATTTTCGGTTCAGGGCTTATACATAAGCCCTCTATACCAGACTCAAAAAATACAAATAAAGTATTATTATGCATATAATATAAATAATTTGACAATTATATGATTGCAGCTCTGTAATTTTTAAAAAGTTCTTGGTTTTTCCAGTGGTTGTCTAGTTCATTTTTAAATTTGTTAACGTTATTTGCTGAAGTAACATATTCAGGTAGTTTATTCCATGTCGATGCCTATCTTACTGAAAAAGAGTTTTGGGTATATCGTTTTTGAATTTACGGCTGTGACGTTGAGCAGCGTCTTCCCATAACACTACTGTATTGCAGCATTCCTGGTCGTATAATCCATTAATAATTTTATATAGTTCTATCATGTCCCCTCTTGCTCTTCTGAAGGCAAATGTTGGTAGCTGGAGTCTTTACAGTCTCTGGCTGTAGCTTAGGTTACTTATGCCTGGAAGGCACTTGGTTGCTTTTCATTGCATTCCCTCTATCTTATTAAGGTATGGGCGGATTGGTCGAGTGGTTAACACTCCAGCCTTCCACGCAGACGGCCGGGGTTCAATCCCCGAAGTCGACGTAAGCATGGAATATTCAGAGAAAGTGTTTTTCTCCTGCCAACACAACTCCAACAACCCAGGTGGAGCATAAAATGGTCTGGGGTGGATGTTGCAGTATCTGTGCTGTAGCATTCAAGTGAGGTTGCACTATAAATGATACCGTTGGAGCACGGTCCCACTACAAAACAGAACACAATACATCTCCAACACACACAAAGGCACACACACATAGGGAGATATTAGCCAGGTGGCATAGGTCTAGAAGTTAGCGCCTGATAAGGCAGCTGCTGCGAATTCCTCAATATTGTATTGATTCATATATATGCTAAATGTATTGACTGTATAAAATTGTATATCTATGTAAAAAGTACATGTCATTACACTATAACAAATAATTCTCTTAATGGTGCCCGAGCGAAGTTCTTTAATGGTAACACATGCGTGCGTAAACAGAGCTGCTTCCCCTTGCTACACATTGCCTTTATTTTTTTTCATCTGAAAGTTGACGTCCAGTCTCGACACGGGAAGTGTATCCTTGAAGCAAAGACAATTGTGTTTCAACCCATACATGAACATCTTCATATAGTGAAAACAATACCCATTTTTTATTAATTGCTTATTTAGATAAAAACTAATACACATTCTGAGTGAAAAAAATCTATCACATAAATTTTGATACTAGCAGGGATGAAACGTCGTTCAGAGATTATCATAATATGACGTCACAAGCACGTCACACTCAATCGGCCTTCATTGGTTATTTTTGGAAGGTTGTTACATTTATCTCTTTGTCGGTGCTTCATGACTTTTTAATTTCAGTTTTTGCCACAGGCACAAAAAGTAAAAACGCGGATGTTTTCTGAAGATCCATTTTGTTATAAACCATGGCCAGGTTCAGTTAATATTTTTACTGGGAGATATTTTCAAAAAGAGCCACATTAAACCAATAAGGTCAAAGTGTACATTTATTTTTTATTGTCTAATATTTCATCAGCTTTTGATTTCCATTTGTTTAGAATATGAACGAAATAATTAACATTTTTGAAAGTCTGATTATAGTCTTACATAATTTATGTATGGTAGCAGAATACAGTAGAAATGGCCCGACTCTGATAAACAAGGCACATGCCGAGGAAATGTAAACACAGCGGATTTACCCTACACAACACATGTATACATGTATATATATTTGTAAACTGCATTACATTTACAATACATATAAAGTACTGAGAAGTGTATAAACCTCTTTTTTCTATGTATGTCACTTGTGTGAAAACCATGGTTACCACATCAAAAATTACCAAAAAATGCCAAAAATTGCTATTTTTAACCCAAAATTTGACCCCCGCAACTAGTAATTTTTTTCCTAAGCTCTGTCTGAAATTAAAGATTACCTACCTGGTTGCAGAATTATCTGGGTCCCAGTAAAGTTGTAAAACTTGATTTTTTGCAATTTTGCGTCGTGTGCTGTTGTCAAAATTTTACCTCCTGTAAAGCTAGCTTTTCATGTGTACGCACCCTTTCGGATTATGGCCAAAATTTTATTCTCGAACCAAAAAAATCTTCTTTCTTTTTTACAAATGTGAAGTTCACATAGCCCACTTCATCATGCTTATACCAATTTTAGTACAGTTTTATTTTTATAATATTTTTACATATCATTATACAGGGGTTAGCCATTTAACAAAAATATCACCCATGGCCACAACCCTCTACTGTACACTGCTACCAATGCATCACCACTCATAAAAGAAACAATGGATAATTCATTTATGTCAAAATCAACAATAACTGTCCAGACAACGACCCTTTTCTAGCAACGTATTACTTTTTCACATTGCATGCCGATTTATAACTAGTAACAAACAGAAACTTTTTAATTTTATCTGGCATCATTACCTGTCAAATCTCAGTGACAGTTACAAAATTTGAAATTCAATCTGGTGTTTCAGGATGGAACAGGAACTCAAGACTATATATCGATATAACGACAATCTCAGTTTCATCAAAGTATTACAATGTTTTCTTTTTTTAATTTCTTTTTCTTAACTAACATCTCTATACATTTACTTTTATAGACTTATCGTCAAAGGTATAATAAGCACCTTTTTTCTATACCAATTACCAAACAGTTTTTTCCTAACTTATTTCAATCATTCTTTTTGTGACCTGACGGAAGCTTGTAGGGATTAAATTCTTAAAGCGGGAGGAAGCCGGAGTATCCGGAGAAAACCCTCATTGTCAGGAAGGTTACCGGGATTGAATCCATCCATCTTGGTGAAGACGAGCTCGCTATCCATTGTGCCATCCGACCCATCATATAGGTTACGCACAAGAACAAATATCTACTTAAGCTTTGAAAATGGTGTCATTGATGCAAAAATTATATTGTGAATACATTTTTACCAATCATCAACGATACAAAAAATCTACATACGGGAGACTGGGGCAAGTTTGGCCACCCCTGATATTTTTGTTTTTGAGCTAATACGTACAACTTTAAAGATCTTAGCAGTTTAGTTGGCTGGGCATTCACACAAAAAAATGTTGAGGAATACTCTAATGTAATCTTCAGATGATATACCTTAAAGCAAAGCCAAGCAATCACTACCATATTGCTGTACAATAAGAATTTATTGAAATATAAATTTGGGCCCGGTTAGTTTCGGCCAATGATACTGTGGCAAGTTCGGCCCATGTAAAACATAAAAAGTTGTAAAATTGTCGGTAAAATTTGACGTTGCATGCTTTATAACGTCATAATAAAGCTGTTTCCAATGGGGCCGTACTTACCCGAATGACCGTCTGAAATTATCCCATGACGGGGCTCGTTCAGCCATCCGATAGGGAAAATTTAATAATGTTCAAAAACGGATGTGCTGCCATACTTCCAAGAACGGACTTTAATAAAAATGGGCCAAATTTGCCCGATCTCACCTATTATTATGTCGGTCTTAATCTCAATAGATTTTATGTATCTCATTCTGAATCAGTAAACTTTATATATCTGAGATCAACAAAACCCTCGCTCTTTAAGGCTTTGTCTCTTCATATTACTGGTAATGAGTAAAGTTCAACTGCTTATTTACTAATTTACTAATACTGTGATGCAAATTTATTTTCAACTTCCTTAATAACATGCAACATGTCCCTAACCTGCTAAACGATCAGTAATCGGTAAAACTATCGTCGTATACAACCCGACCTGTAGTCATCTCCGTAGACGGTAGTTCACGCTTATTGAATGATTATCACAAATTTAATATCAAGTACATGAATATGTAGAAATTACTTTGATGTAAGATATCATAACATTTGTTTTTCAAATAGACCCCAGAGCCTCAGTCAGGTACGATCGAAATCTCTGGTAAACAACATAAAACATGATTGTTATAACGATACATAACATTCATATGTGACATGAAAGAAACACAAGTATAGTTGACATGTATGCTTATGATAAAATCAGTACCCTGACATGCTGTTTGTGGGTACACTGAGCGATCCTTGAAGTCTGTTTACTCCCGGACTTTCCCAAGGCTTCGGAGGCGCAGACATCTTACATAGTCCAATCCTTGTCACACGAGCGCTTATCTATAGGGCGAAGGTCAAGGACATGTATGAAACGAAAGTAGACACGGCAATCGGAAGCCGTCGGCACTTTCCGTAAACGAGAAAACACAGCGGCATGGATCGCTTTACTTGTAATATTAAAAAAGGGTCTCCTATACTAATAATTACATCGCTTTACTATTGTATTTATTAGAATAGGAGACCCCTTTTTTTTTAATATTACAAGTAAAGCGATCCATGCCCCTGTGGGTTTAACAGGTGATTATCAAATGAACATATATTTATTGTATAAAAGATGTTTTATCGACGGTAAAATTGGAAACTTTTTTAATCATTACAATTTGAAAGCGTTAAATGGTTTAATGCTAGTTTTCCAAAGACAGGAATATGTATCTGCAGATGGAGCCAGCGACAAGGCGTATTCAGTTCAATTGAAGAACATACAGGAAACACATCTATTAAAACACCCTCCTGAATAAACTGTAAACTAGTGGAAGTTTAAGATAGGCAATGTACTATTTATACAGAATGTTAATTTGAGAATTTGACTTCCCACCTATGTTTGTATTCATGAATTTGTATATACGAACACAAGTGTCTATATAGTAATTGTATGATGTTACTAAGAGTACACTTCATAAATACATAGTAAGACAATTTCAGTTAACAAGAATAAATTATTTGTTATGGTTATTTTTTTTCTGGAGAGAGGTGGGGACGATTGGTTAACAGGTATAGGTATGATAAGGAGACAGGTGGGGTCGGTTTGGAGATCAGGTTGAAACGGCTGTGAGACAGATAGGGACGGTCGGAAGACATGTGGAGGTGGTCTGAAGACATTTAACATAGACACGAGTCTTATTAAATTGTATCTGTAGTTTAGATTTAACAGTTAAAAGATATTAATCACCAATGTATTTCAGGATTTTTAAAGAGAGTTGCTTCCCCTATCACTTGTTACGTTGAAAGTAATCCCCGGTTGGAAATGGAACCATTGTCAGTTTTCAGTGTTGAAATTGGAAATTGATAGCGGTGGGAAAATTAAATAGATTTGTTTTTCCTCTGGAAATGGACCCCGTTGGAAATAACCACATGGGTGCATATTTTTTCGGTAGGTTTCGTAAATACAAATATAAACTATATTATTTTACACCAATTATGAAACAAGTTATTTCAACTTGTATCAATCACTCTTGTTGTCTCGGATGTTAGCGCACGGAGGGTCTTTATGTGGGAAATCGGAGTACCCGGAGAAAACCCACTTGGTCGGACAGATGACCCCATACCTTAATTTTCACGTCCGATCGGGAAATTGAATCCCGTCCTCCTTGGTGAAAGGCAAGTTCGCTATCCACTGCGCCACCCGACCACCCAGTATGTTTCAGCAGGTAATCTCCATTTTATCCCTCATTTCTACAAAAAAATCATCACACGGAAAAAGATGCGCCGAGTTATAGATGATTATAGACTTGAATCACCTAATCAGGCCACCGTTAAACTCTCGAGTTCAGAAAAAGTACGAAACGGTGCTGCATAATTATGTGCAACGTAAATGAATGATAAACATATTTTGTCCATCACAAGGTCTGCATTTAGGCGTTTTTAGATGGATTCATGAATATTATTTCGACAACAACAAAAACACGTTGATAACGAACGCCAGAATATTATGACATAATTTCATGCATTTTCAAAACTTCCCTAGATACTTTCTTCAACGTTGAGTCTGTCTGTCTGTCTGCCTGTCTGTCTGTCTGTCTGTGTGCTTGGGTTTTCTCCGCCATTGTGGTATTTTCAGTTGAATTACATCCTTCGTGTTTGTCTTCACCTCGGTTCAAGGAAGGCAGGATAAAGCCTATTCTTTTGAGATCCATCCTCTTCAGGATTTTCTCTCAAAACATTTTCTCTTTTTAATTTTGTTTTAGAAACTCACTATCTGCTTTTCCCCTGAAAAGTGTTGAATCTGGAATTCCGAAGTAGATTAAAGTGGCCAAGAAAAAACCACCAGAATACATTTTTCGCCTTTTTTAGTATTGATGGTTAATGTAAATATTGAGAAAATGTGCGAATTCTTTATGTGGTGTCGTTATATTTGAAAACGACATATTATGTCTCGTATTATCAGTTTTTGATTCTGGCAAAGCAGTCGGACCATATAAAATCAGTAACCGCTTACTTAAACCTACGACAAGAATACTATTAGTACCTCCGGCAGTGTTATTCAATGGCTCTTTCCTTTTATAATTATGTACATATATGTAATACTTTTACAGTCTAGCGTTATAGGGGAAGAGTGAGTGTCTCGTAAGTCTAATATTCCGTCTTTGCGTATTGCAGAGGTATCTTCTCTTGTGAGCAGGTATTGATTGTTACGTAATTGGTTTGTGTGAGAAAATTACGTCGTTTTCTCAAAAATTGATGACGTTACTCTCACAAACAAATGACGTAACAATCAATACCTGCTCACAAGAGTAGATAACTCTGCAATACGAAAAGACGGAATAGTAGACTGGATGTAAGGGTGGATGAGCAGACATATTTTAGAGATTAAAATACTTGTACCTTTTACATGTGACACTATAATAGACTAATTTGAATTGAATTTAAATTGAATCCTTCCCTGGTGGACGGAAGAAAACACTTTTTTACTTTATACCCCTGTTCAGGTAAGGTGACTGTCACCTTCTAGTAACCTATCCGTCTATCTCATTATTAAGTTGTGTTTCTAAAAGAGAGAAAAGTTTTTCAAATATGTCTTCTATTTTCAAGGGAAAATGGTATTTCTTTAAAATGTCAATCTGGATTTCTGCTATGTCATTGTCTCATTGAACCGTTTCCCAACTGGTCGAGCTTTTTCATGTTAAACATTGTTTCTGCCATTGACAAGAATGAACAGTCACGTACTGTATGTTGCTACCTTTCGACATCCTCAGTCCCAGGTGAAAATCGCACTTCAGCGTAAGTGCGATTTTTACCTGAGGGCAAGGATGCGTTTCAACCGATGAAGTATGGCAAAATTAACCTATTTGGTTCTCCATTTATCTGACTAATCGTCAAAAGAGTGCAAATGGCACGGCCATGTTCAACAAATTATTGAATCATCCTTTTCTATAGAAACGAAATATAAATTTAGTAATGAGACATTAGACACTATAATATTAAGCAATAAACTGCCTTCTTTGGAAATTTATTGTCCTATTATTCTCACAGGATTGCAGACAAATTGAATAACGCGTTATGATTAATGATAAAGACATACTAAAAATAGTTTTAAGTGGAATACTAACGATTTGAGATATATTTCTTAACATATAACATCATATATGGCTGATTACATCCCAGCCCGAGGCCTTGTCGAGCTTCAATATCTCACGGTAGATCGTCTCGAATTCCATTATAGAATTTAACGTTTTGTCAGCTTTGGCTCAACAATAGGAACAATAGTACACGGTTACTATCGTGTAGTTGTGTAATATTACGAAAACAGTGATTTATTAATAAGTAAGTTTGCTTTATCTTCGTCATAAGTAACAAAATTGTTAGAAACAGGATCTACAAGAGTAAGTATAGATTGTGAAGTACCTGTTGATTTCATTAACCGTTTAATTAGTCTCGCATACGATTTAGGATTCTTCAGTAACGCTGTCGCATATCCTGGTGGCAATTATTCCGCGATAAACGAACGCACTTGGACCGGAACTGTGCCGAACTTAGAGGCAGAGCTAATAATGCACAGTTTTGGAGTTTTGTGAAAAATAATTAACAACGTAACCATAATAATATTTCTCTCACCTCATACAGAGCTATCCGACGTCATACCCCATGCTAGATTATGTTAAAAATATACATCAATAATTTAATCTTGCTTGTATCAAGCATTTCCATTGGCTAAAAAACAATATGTTATCAGCCCATAACGTAAAAAATTACGTCGCCAGTTGTAACGTTGCTTTTGATTGGCTGATACAGCAGCGCAATAATTTCTAAGAGGAAAGAGTCCATCAATAAAAGTGGATTTCCACAGGGATTGTGTATAGTAGATAACATTATAAGGATTAACTTGAATATGTTTTTCATGTTATGGAGCTATGAAATGTCAACTATTATTTACAAAACAATTAGGTTACGAAAAAAGGAAAATGCGTGAATGAAATGATTTGGCGAAGAAAAAACAACGACTTTGAAAACTATACCAAACCTTCAATGCTCTAGATCATGGTTAGTGACATTCCCCCTTGCCGGTTCCCACTTAAAATCAGACAAGTATCGAACTAAAAAATACGCAGCAATCCCCCTCCCCCCGATGATGCCGATGTACTTATAATTATTGAAACGTGATGCGATAACTAGTTTTCATAATCTCTTTCTCACGAACTAGAAATACGATAGATCAACCATCATGTATGTCATTGTCATGTTTCACAAGTTACGTGGAATACACACATGCTCTCCAGCCGATTTCGGCATACGATACTTAAACACTTAACATGACTCATCATCGCTATAGAGTGTTGAAATGTATATAAAAAAAAGCGTAATCATTGGGGTGAAGGTTTAGGATCGTTTGTGTCGGAGTTATAAATCGGGCCACACCCAGGAGTCAAGTTCAACACAGTGACTATTGGTCTGTGATTAATATCTTTCATCATTTCAGTATCAAGAAATACTAACTTGATCCTCATCAATGTGTCTGGTAGAATGCCATAAATCATTTCTCAATTTTTAAACTAGTATATATATATCATCATCATTGGGGTGCCATTTTATCGACAGTTCATCTAAACTTCTAAGACGTTTAATATAAATTAGAACGCATCAGTTTAGATAAAAACATAGCTGCTGTAACAAATTAAAGTCCCTGTGGGGGTAGCTACACAACATATGTAGAACGGGCCACTAAGTCGGTGAGAACCGAAACCATTGCGGTGCTTTTCACTGGATTCTTGAACAGTTGCTGGTATCATCCGCTTCATCATCGTGTCCAAGGTTTCTTACATCCCTGATATAAAATATAAACTTT